GATTTGGGATTCTGCCTGTATTACTCACTGTCTGTATCTAAGTAAGACTAGCCTCGTACAGATTGCTGTTTTATAGATGATGATAAATCCAGGAGAAAATAATAAATTAAAATAATTATCAGAACAACAGAAACTGTTCCAATGAAACTGGAAGCAAAGTTCAAAGTGCCTAATGCATTGGAGTGGATGGACTACTCCTTCAGCTCTCTCATATTGAGAGAAGTATCATTTAAAATCATGAATCTGCTGGTAAGGCATTTTAACAAGCCTTTTAGACTAACTTATACCAGCATGTTTTATTGGACCAGCTAATACATTTAGACAGTGGGAATTTTCAAGCACAGCTGTCCTTACTCTGGCTTCAGTAGTACTCCAGAACAATTATTAAAGGAAAGAATAGTTGCAAATATTGATTTAAATGGAAAGAGAGTTACCACAAGGGTACTAAAGAGAGATTTTGCCAAACTAACCTGTCATCTGCTGTCTGAGCTCTTAGAAGACTATTAGTAGAGTACTCCAAATCAAGCTTGGGGATTGTTATTCCTTAACGCTGTTCTTTTTAGAGTAGATGTATGCAAATTAAATGTTATGATCGCATTATCTGTTAGGTTTGTCAGTGCGAGATGTATTAAAACACCGCGTAGGAATAACTGTAAACTTCTCCCTCATGATTTAGTTCCTGTCAGAATGAAACCTATTAGGTTTCTGGGAAACCAGGTATGGGACAGATGAAATGAGACTGGTTGATGTTGTGGTGTGGATGCTATTGTGGTCTGAATGGATCCGTGTGAAAACAGTTAGCAAGAATTTTTCTATTGTCTTCTTTCAAGACCAACTTGATAGCCAAAAAAAAAAAAAAAAAGCGCATGGCATTAGGCATTCTACTGTGGAGCCTGTGGTGATCTCTGTAGGATCATAATAGGGCTCAAAAGAGCTTAGGACAGCTTCTGTGAAGCTTCTCTGGTAGACATCCACTCAAGTTTCTTAGACTGCTGCTGTTTAACTATGGTGAAAATTGTTTCAGTTCGTAGAATGAACTTCTGTAGTTGACACTAACCAGTTGTAACTGACAGGATGAGATATCCAGATACCTTTTTAAAAGGTTCCGCATCTGTAGTGCTTTGCCTTCACCATCTGCCAGTGAGGTTTCTAAAAAGACTCTATTAAAAGCTGATTAGGCCCTTCAAAAAGCCACTAACCTTTTGTTTGTCACTCTGAGCAGTGACTTTTCTGAGGACTTGTGTGTTTTAAGTTACCGTCTTGTTTTATTTAATACCAGTATCACAGAATTGCAGAATGGATGAGGTCAGCTGAAACCTCTGGAGGTCATCTAGTCTAACCATGTTGCTCAAACAGCATCAGCTACAGCAAGCTTCCCAGGACTGCTTCCAGTTGAGTTTTGAATGTCTCCAAGGATGGAGACTCCACAACCTTACTGTGCAACTGTTTCCAGTATTTGATCAACCTCACAGTAAAAAAAATGGTTTTCCCATGTTTCAATCTGTGCCCATTGCTTCTTGACCTGTCAGTGGACACCACTGAGAAGAGTCCATCTCCCTTTTCTGTATCTCTCCCATAAGGTATTTATACACATTAATAACAGCCCCCCCGATCCTTCTCTTCTCTAGACTGAACACAGCTTCTCCTTGGGTAGGAGATCCCTTCATGAACTTTGTGGCCCTTTGCTTGACTAGCTCCAGTATGTCCATGTCTTTCTGTACTGTTAACTTTCTAATGTTCATAGGGTAGTACATAGTTTTGATTGCTTGCCTATACAGTATTTTCAGTATTTGCAGGTGCACATGGGAGCTTCTAACAAAGCTGCTCTCCATAATGTCTGCTCTAATAGGAACAAACACCGCATTTTTTTTCTATTTAACCTTCTTTGTAAATGAGAAAGGGAAACAATTAACATACACGCATTGTCGTCTTGATTGCTGATACTCCCTTTTCTTTTTCCTGTATTTTCCTTTGCTGTTTGTTAGCTCAGAGGATGTCTTGAAGGATTTACTTGCTCTCATAGGCAGATAAGCCTGCTCCAGATTGTATATGTGGAGAAAGATCACTGGCTTAGCAGTTATTCCCCACTGACTGATATGCAGAACTTTGAAAGAAGATACAACCTTTTATCTTAAACCTTATGTACAACTTTTAGTGTCTGTTGTCATTTTAGGAGAACTCGTTTCAGTTTTGTATATTGGATTTTAGAAATCGGGATTTTCTTGCTTTCTTTTAAAGGCTGAACAGCTAGTTGACCTCATTTCTGCATGACTGAACTGGTAACTATAACTGATTAGATACTTAATGCTGTGTTAGAGTATGTTTTAGTGCTGTTGAACTAGCTGCTACAGAACTTCTCTGATAATATTTTAGTTAGCTCCTGTCTGGCTTGCATCTGAAGCAGGTACTTCAAAAGTAGAATTCAGCATGCATTTCAAATTTCTTTTTCTGGAAATAGGGTAGATTAATGTTTTGGTGCATGTAAAACATTCAGGCATCAATTTTTTTAATTAGAATAGTGATTTAGCTCTCATGAGTTGAAGTCATTAGGTTCCTCTATAAATTAGATATCTGTTTTGAAATTTTCCTTTTTAATTCTGAAAAAGACCCCAATCTACTTTCATGTGCAAAAAGTTAGAATTTTCAATATTATTATAGTACTGCTTTAATTTTCCTTCCACTTACTGATAATTCTGCCTGTATTGCAGTAGTCAGAAATTTCAAGTTAACCGCAATAGAATCTAACGATCTAAACCTTTTTTCCTTGCTGTGTTTTCTTCTTCCATAATGTTGTTTCTTGCTCCCATCTAGAAGACAGTGGACTTTAAAAGAACTGATTAAATGAAAGATGAAGCTAATTTAGAAGCTTCTGACCATCAGCTACTTCAGGAGACAAAAATTATGTGCAAAGAAGCCTGAAATTATCATTGCCATGATCTATGTGTGTGTTGGAAGTGAAAACCCCATCAAACTCTAGTCTCAAATTAATGCCAAAATATCCCTGAACACGGTCCAGTTCAGGTCTAAGAACAGTGTGTTCAGGGCACAATCAATACCCCTAATAATAACAAAAATAAACAAGAAGAAAGTTCACTTAGTGCTGTAAATTTCAGTAAACTTTACTACTGATCAGCACTGATTTAGTGCCTCTTTCTGAATTACTGTTACTTCATTGCTAGAATATTTGTTTTACGCTTTTAAGACTGCTTAGGCTGAACAACAACTGTTCTCTGAACCTATTAGACTTAGTTTTCCATTAGTTCCTCAAATTCAGTATCCTATCTCTTGAAAAGTGAGAATAGAGGAAAATTTTGTATTCAGAAGGATGGAAAAAAAAATTTGTTCGATCTTTCTTGGTAACAGTGTGGGGACATGAATGCTATCTCAAATGTTTTGAAACACAGTGTGAAAGCTAGTCCTGGCTCCAAAGAGACTTGTTTCGTCTTTCTCTGGTGGCATGTTCATTAGGTACAGGTTCATTTCCAGAAGGCTCTGAAATGCTCCACTGTGAAAATGCCCGTTACGCTTTCTTTCTTTGTTTTTTTGGCCGTCAGCCTCTGCCTCTTTGATTTTTTTTTTATTTTTTTTTTTTTTGAGACTTAGGCATGTGCTTTATTACGCTGTTAATCAGTAGTTCTCAACTGGGAAGGCATGGAACCTGTTGCCTGTGGCTCAGGGGTCCATCCAGAGCTGCCACCTTCTCTTGTTGAGCTGGAGTCTTCAGAGTGTTGCAGAAGCGCGCGCTGCCTCGCTCTGCGGCACCCAAACGCCTTGAGCGAGATGCACAGGCCAGTTCCAGGCCAGGCCAAATTCAGTTCTCCTTGCATCCTTCTGGAAAGAGATTATGTATGCCTTGAAGTGTTCACTTATTCTGTATTGCTGGGGGGCTTCTTACTCCCATGTGGTCCAGCCAGATCTGTGTCTGCCCTTGGGTAGGCAGGAGACAGGAAGGTGGGAAGAGGGTTAGGGTTGTTGGTAGAAGGAAACAAGGCCGGCAGCCTGGGTTGAAGGGCCTGGAGGCAGCAGGAAGCCAGTTTGAGGCAGCATTGAAGACAAGACAATGAAACTACGTTTGGAGAGGAGCCTGAGCAGCATGGACTATGAAAGAGAGATATGCTAGGTTTTATATTAGATAAACGTGTTATGAAGCATTTGGTGGGTATTTGCCTGTTACAAAGAAGGGCTAAAGTATGTGAGCCTGTGTTAAAAATAGCGTAGAATTTCAGTCTGTTTCAGGTGCTCCAACTTTTCATAATTTGACTCCGCAAAGTGTGTTTTTTTGACAAGATTTATAAACTTTTATTCTTTCTGGTTTTTAACCAACTGCAATTCCTACTTTTTATCTTTGAGGTAGGCCTGCATTCCAATTCTTGCAGTATCATTGCAGTTTGTGTAGGCGTACTTGACTTAGCTTGCACATAGTTCACTTGTATACTGTAATTTAAGGTTAAAACTTGCTAGGGATTAAGACTGTTGCATCTGTGACTGCAGCTCTCATACTCAGCGTGATAGGGGCTGTGCAGCCTTGTCAAGAAGATGACTTCATTCAGCTGTTGCAGTATGGCCCTCATATCCCAGAGCTCTTCCTGCACTAGGTTCTGTAGTGTTTACAGGAGGTCCTGCTCAAGGTGAACTCAGTGGTGCCAACAACTGGCTATTATGTGATACCTAATGTAGCAAATGGATTTGATTTTCCTACCAAAACGGTAGTGTTTGGGTTTCTCTATGTCTCTAGATGATAAAATAGGCATAATCTGAGTGAAAGGAGAAATTCAGTTTTGCTTGTTTGTCACTGAATGGGATGGTTATGTTGAAAGTTGCAGGCAATTACCTGAAACATGCTAGATCTGTCCAGTGTCAAACTGAAGATCTTCTCTGCGTGGCTGCATGTAGTTTTATTATTGTCTGGTTGCTATGATTTGTGCTAACGGATTGGATGGTGTTTGCTGTAAGTGAAATAAAAACAAAACAACCCACAAACAGATAATGTTATTCTTCAGGTTGAACTCCCACCTCCTGATCTTGGCCCAAGCTCTGCACTAAATCAGACACTTAACTTGCTGCGGGAAGTTCTGGCATCTCATGACTCATCCGTTGTTCCACTGGATGCCCGTCAAGCTGACTTTGTGCAGGTATAAGAATGTTTGACTGCTCTGAAGAGGCAGGGGGGAAAGTATGTGTAAGTTAGTCTTGGTACACAAAAAATGGATGAAACATTAATCTATTTTGTCTGGTCCCATTGTGGAGCTTTCTGCCAAACCTGAGTTTGTAATGTGAATAAGATGGTGACTAACGAAGTGGATAATTACAGTACAGTATGGAGTGCTACTCTTAATGCAGTATCTAAATCCTGTTATCCAATTACTACTCCATTAAGTAAATATACCCTCATGATCGCACGATTACCAATTATCTAATCTGGGTTACTCTTCCTCCTGCTAGGTTAGAATCTGTTCTCAGGTTTTTATACTTTTCCCATCACTATGGTAGCTGATCACCTGCTGACAAATCCAGTAGAAAACTGCTTTCACAGTTGGAAACTCTCATTTCTCTTTGTTCTGCTTTGCAGAATAAATACGTGATAGAGACAGAATGAGCTTAGGAGCCTCATGTGACATGATTTCTTCCCTCCCTCTTTTCTGTGTGTTTTCTATTTTAGGTTCTGTCTTGTGTGCTAGATCCATTGTTACAGATGTGTACTATGTCAGCTAGTAATTTGGGCACAGCTGATATGGCAACCTTCATGGTAAATTCACTTTATATGATGAAGACTACTTTGGCTCTCTTTGAATTCACTGACAAACGTCTAGAAATGTTACAATTTCAGGTAAGCTTTAACAACCCCCCAAAAAATTAACTTCTTACTGATTTTTTGTAGACTATAAGTTGTGATGTGAATGTATGTATCTTTGATTAATGTTGGCTTTGGGTCAATTCTAAATCAAGGAAATGGGATAAGAGGGGTTCTTATCAGACACTGTAAGCAAATAGCAGGTACCAGAGCTCATGGTATACAGCATCTTTTATTTTAAACGGACAAAAAAAATTACTAGAAGATTTGGTTTGGTTTGGTTTAGTTGCAGATAAACCCATCTCAGTGAACATTTTCATTATCCTAATCATTCTAATACCTGCAAACTGTGTGAGAAGAAGCAATTGGAAGTTGAAAGCTCAAACGGCTGTGTTCCATCATACAGTTAATACTAGATCATCATCTAGTTTATACTAGAACATATATAGCTGAAGTTACTACTTCAGTCCTTCTTTCTACTTTTCTCATTTGTTTGGTTTCACCTAACGTGCCAGGAGAGTAGTTCATATAGGGTACCTTTTGAAATGGAAATGTAGTTTATAACCCATTGACTTGGGAAAATTTAGGTACTGCCCATTCATAGCTTTGCTACATGAATATCTCTACAGTATACCTCAGGAGAGTTTTTGGAGCTGCAGGACTTGGAATAAAGTCACAATTTCTTATTTGAAGGCGTCAGTAAAGATTGGCTGTGAGCCATTTCTTCCTTTCTACTCCTAATTAGAATTTCTAGCACCTTTTAGCTCTGAAACATACAAACAGACAACCCCACCAAACTGTCTGGGGCATTTCTAATTTCCATTAGCAGAGTTTCTTTTTCACAGTAAATGTTGCAATTGATTTATTCTTCAGATAAGCAGTAGAGCTGAAGGTTATGCATTTAATACCATTTACTTTCTTCAAACGTTTTACAAATACAGGAACAGACTGAAAAAATATCTTTAAGATTATACATAAGTAGGTTATTAAAATGGAGTTAGAATGGCATAGTTAATAAGAGAAACATTTTTCATAGAAAAAAAGAGCTCTCTAAGACGGTTAAAATCTCCAAATTGAAATATTAATATTTCCCTCATGATTTAAAAAGAAAAGTGCATTTTTCTAAACCATTTGAGGAAGTAAAAAGGTGAACTCTCAAAATATCAGACCTGGAAGTCTTACGTTTTACTGGAGTTTGATATGTTATAAATTTTTACTTTTCTTTAGGATTGGAAGAAAAAGAAATATGGGTAGTTATCTGTAAAAATGAAGTAATAATGTATATATACTCAAATATCTTTCCAAGACTACTCAAACTGAAAAATGATTGCTGCTGCTGTGACTGGATTTATTGATTAGGTTTCTCGGCAAAGTGCAGATTATACTAAGAATGTAAAATATGTTTATGACTTTTTTCATATGAAGATAATTAAAGCAAAATTGATAGCTTTAATTTCATCTATTGTTCTTTCAGCTAACTTTTTTCAAGTACATGTTTATCAGTATTGAATTTAAAGCAGTACTTATTACGATTTAGCTTCAGTTTTATTTTCTTTGTGAAAGACTGACTCTTTCTCTTATAAAACTGCCATGCTATTCTCAATATTTTCAGTAAGTTGGATGATTTTTGTCATACAGCAGTTTTTAAGATTAGAGCTTTCGTATTCTTAATTTTTGGTGCTGTTGAATTTACAAATAAAAAAAATTTAGGTTCTTTTGTTAGTCAGATATGAAAGAATTATCAATATTTTTATTATTGGCTCCTTATGATATGGTAGATGTAAATTGATAAAATAATTTGTGTTGTATATATTTGTGGTTTTTCCTTGCTTGTTGATCACTTCCCTTTTTTTTCTTATTTGTTTTTTTCCCTTCTTATTTGTGTTTCTAGACTTTTTATACCCCAGATCTTCTTCTATTTAATATTCTTGTGCACATTTTAGAAATACCTTATGCTTAAAATTTCAGATTGAAGCTCATTTAGATACACTCATAAATGAGCAAGCTTCCTACGTGTTAACAAGAGCTGGTCTAAGTTACATATATAACTCCGTGCAGCAACACAAACCGGAACAGGTAAGCTTACATGATGTACATGTTGAGGAGGTACTGCATACCTGCCAACTAGAAGAATTCGGGCACTAATATTTTTGCAAATTTAGCTTCCTCTGAAAGCAAAAACTCAGTAGTATCTGTTGATTTTTCGCACGGGACCAGGACTATTAGACAAAGGCACCTTGCAAGTGTAGATTTCCCCTACACCATATGTTCAGCCAGCCTAGCAGGTTTGATGTGCAACAATCCTTCTGTGCAGCTTATCTGTGTGCTATCAACAGGCTCCGTACACCACAGACATCCTGTACATTCTCAGAATAACTCTATAGGTAGTTTAATACGCCTCAGAAAGTGTCATAGAGTCAAGCTGGCTCTAAAACATAAATACTGAGTATGTGTACCACTTCCATGACATCTAGAATATATTGGACCTACAGTGCATGCAGCATTTTCTTCCATTGCATGCCATACACAGAGTGTATAATACATACCCTGCATGTATTAGACAATTACTGCTTTTTTCTTCTGTGAAAAATTGGCAGATGAGTGTAGTAGTAATTTGAAATATTTCTTCTTTTGTCCTTATTCATTGCTCTAGCTATTCTAGCACCAAGACAGTGAGATTCTAAAAGCTAAAACTTGAGATTTCTTAGAGTGAGCTGAGAACTGAAATGCAGAGCTCTCGCTCTTCCTTTCTTGTGAACCACAGTTGTTATATGATAGGTGTTAATACAGCCCCTCTTCCCTTCAGCTGTGCCTCTGTCCTTTTGTGATCTGTTGTGAAGGTGAAGAACAGTGTTTTCTGGGGAAGAGAGAAGTCTGTTGGAGAGCTTTATGTTATTTCTTCAGCCAATAATTTTGCATAAAGTGCCAAAACTCAACAGATTTTTATGTATAAAGATGAATAAATGTATAAATAATCAAGTTAATAACTCAGCTTGCTTTCTTATTCATGAGCCTATTTCTGTACTAAAACCAGTTTCAAATCGACCAGGGCAGATTGTTAATGGAATGTAGCAATTTTCACTTATATCTGTCCAGCTGCCTGGTTGCAGAGGTGATGATGTCACATCATTTACTACGAGTTAGGCAGCATGTATAGATTGTATTGCCTTTGCAGCACAGAAGATTTACTGGGAAGCAGGGTGGGATTCTGCACTGTCACAGAACAGATGAATAGAGGGAAGTTGCCCTCTCTAATTCTGGAACGCCAAGGGAATGTGGCCAGTTTGCAATTCAGTTTTTATCCTAGACCTTGTGGAAGGCTTTTAGGAGGGTTTGTCATTTAATGGTGAAGAGGAAGAAAAGAACTCAAAAGGGCATATTAAGAACTCAGTATTCTGAGGTTTTAATTTAAGAGAGCAGTAGAATACAAATGACCTGTTACAGCATTTCAGGATTGATATGGTGATTCAGTTTCCAAACATTTAAGATCCTGTAGCAGGACAAAATAGCAATTTAGTACTGAACTGATTGTAGAATTTGTTGTTATTTCTTATCTTTTTCCATGTGCTTGTATGACCTCTCCCCCCTCACCCCCTCTGACTACTGATTCTTAGGGTCCTCTTTCAAATTTGCCAAGTATGGATTCTGTGTCCCTGAAGGTTGCAATGGTAAGCATTTTATAATTTCGTATTATGGTGCTGGTGCTGTGACATGGGAAAGAATACTGTTAATTATGTGATCTAGTAGATATTCATCTAACCAGTCACACTCTTTATGAATAGTGAAATTACATGTCTGGGAATACTTTCGTCATTTGTAGTAATTTGACCACTTGAAGTAATAAATACGTAAATTATTTATGAATGGGTAGTAATAGAATATTAGTTTCTAAGCCTTGAGAAACAAAACTTCACTCAGAAGAATGTTATCCCATGAGTCATTTTAAATTGCTAAAAGCAAATACTTAGCTCTAATTAGTTTTAATCACAGAAGTTTCTTTTTTGCCTGTATGCTTCGAAATATAGGTTCTACTATCATTTATAATTTTAGTCCTAAGGCTTTGATTTTATGGAAATAGTTCAGCTAAGCTCAGAAGTTAGGTGCTGGGCATATGTCACAGTTACATTTGTTAAGTTGAAGCTACAACATATTTTAAAACAAGTTATCAGCTGATATTTTTTCTTAGAGTGTGTGAAGGCTATTTTGCATAGAGAGCAATATCACAGTTCAGTAGGCAATAATATATGATCTGTCACTCTTCTTGCTTAGTCAAGTTTAGCTTTATTCTGAAAGTTTAATGGTAAATAAGGCCCACTCATCCAGCAGTACATATATACCCCATGAAAAAAAGGTCTTTTTAAAAGAAAAAGTTTTTTAAAACCAGGTTTGCTTAAAAAAAAATTTAAAAATTGTATGTTGAATCCATCTTAATTGTGTCAATGTAGCCTGTTTTCCTCTGTTCCAGTTTTAAACCAGTGATTCCCAAGCTGGTTGGATGAACAGAGCTCTGGCACAGAACACTCGCTTGTTTACTCAGATCAGCATGTATTCTTATCAATATTTATAAATTTTGAATTTAAAATATATTCTATTTATCATGGTCTTGTAGACCAATAAGGAATTTAAAGGCTGCAGCTTGGAGACCGTCTCTCTAAATTATATATATGTAACTCTATAGCGGTACATAATAATTTCACTTGAGTAGTTAGAGAAGAACCCAACTATTTTATTTTCTTCATTACTTTAATGTCTGCTTGTGTGAACACAGTTCAACCAGAATGGAACCCACTAAATCCCACTTACCACCCTAATCTGTTGGCTTCCCAGGATTTAAGCCATGTGGAAGGAGTACTTGCAGGCAGATTTGCTGCCTCCCAACTTAACCTGAAAGTTTTCCAGGTCTCAGCCTTTTAAGTTGTTCATATGTGCTTGCAAGTGCTGTTCTAGTAAAGTCCGTACCTGTCTCTTGGCTAAAGCTCCCTTGCTTTCCAAACGAGGGCAGATAACCCCAAAAAGTTAATTAATGAGAACTGTGAGTGACTTCATTAGTCATTTGTGCACACTTTTTGCATGTTTAAATGATGGCTGGATGTGGATTTTAGGGTTTCCCGGCTTGAGAAGATTCATTCAGGGTTCAGGAAGGTTGCTATCATTAGATAAAGTCGCCTAGGGCCTTGCCTGATTGAGTAATTCCAAGGATGGAGATTATACAGCTTTTCTGGGTAACCTGTTCAGTGTTTGATGACACTGGTGGTGAGAATTTTTCCTCTTACTATTTAATCAGAATTTTCCTTAGTGTAATATGTGTCCAGTATTCCTCATGTTCTCACCTGTGAGAAGACCTGGCTCCATCTACTCTATAGTCACCCATTTGATCATAGAATCATATAATGGTTTGGATTGGAAGGGATCTTTAAAGATCATCTAGGGCACCCCCCCTGCCATGGGCAGGGACTTCTTTCATTAGATCAGGTTGTTAAAAGCCCCATCCAGCTTGACCATCACTTCCAGGGATAGGGCATCCAAAACTTCTCTGTTGAGAATGTTCAAGATGTTGAAGACAGCAGTTTGTTCTGCTCCAAACTATTAGAATCAAAGCACCACATTTTTTTTTGACTGTATTATATGAGGGAGGAAAATTAGGCTTAAAAGCAGTTTGAGAAGCCTGCGCTAGGTCCCTTGCTCTTATTTTTCCCAACATAAGTGCTCATTAGATTATTAAGCAGTAATTCCCTGCCAAAAAGTAAAAATAAATGTGTAGAAAGAAACATGCAAAAAGAATCGTGCAACATGTCTAACTTGGATAGATTAGATTTCTGTCTGGAGGCTATTGTATTCCCTACAGCAGATAGACTAGGTCTGATCTTCAGGGGTGCATGCATGTGTGCACCAGCTGCATAGGAGACTTAGATGGATAATTGTGGAAGCTGGATTCTCATTATTTGCTTCTGCACCCATACTTCTCACAGTCAGAAACTTGAAATTTTGGTGACAGAGGTGATGAAGTTAGACATTTGTTTTGAACTATTAAGTTCTACCTTAAACTTTTGTATTTTATGTTAGGCTCTATCTTAAATATATAAAAAGATAAAATTTTACCAAACAAGAAGGTGCCATTTTAATGTAGTCACTTTTCAGAGGTCTGGTTTTTTACCTATTTTCATATAAGAGCAACTTCTTAATGTTTATCACATATTCTTTTCCCCCCCACCCCCAGGCTCAGTTTGATCGCTATCTGTCTGCTCCAGATAGTCTGTTAATGTCCCAGCTGAATTTCCTTCTGAGTGCCACTGTGAAGTAAGTACCTTACCTTTGAATTTCTATTATGCCTGCATAATGATCAGAAAGATGAATTTGATTAGGTTTTAGTGGATCATGATGACAATTCAAGTTATCAGCTGTGATCATGTTTGCATTGTCCTTCAGGTCACAATTCAGTTTTGTTGTGACCCTCTTTTTGAACAAACAGTGAGGAATATGTAATTCTATAACTTTCTGAAGTAGTTACTCTTGATTTAACAGACACCATCAAAATTAATTACATTCATCTATTTTGAACGTGTTCCACTGTGTCAGCAGTTTTTGGTCAACTTAAGTTGTAAATTCTTTTAGAATGATTTTGTAAGCATTCCAAAGACAGATGAAATATGTAATTCTCCATTCAAGATTTCTTTTATCCTCATTGCTCCATCAGGTCTAGAATTTTCAACGTTGTTGTCTTCTTCTATTGACATTCTATCTCATTGAACATTTTGCTGAGACTACTTTACTTTTCACCTAATATGGTGGTTTTTTAGTGATTTCTTCTTTGAAGTATGGAAGTGAGAACTTTATCTCATCTCTTGTTTTCTGAATATAACTGAACCCCAAGCCTAGGGAAAGTGCCACGAATTTCTTTCCAATTAAATGTGAACTATATGAAAACATTTTGTAGTGTTTAAACGCAGAGAATTATATGCTGTACTGATCAAAAACTTTTCTTGACATTATTTTTCACCCTTCTATGAATAATGCAGAATACAGACTATACCAGAAATTGAGACTAGCGCATCCCATTTTATGTAATGCAGCAATATTTGGAGTCTCATTACTAGTACTTGTCCTCAGCGGGATGGTATTACGGTATCTTTCAATTAAAAAATTACTTATGTCAAGGGAAAAATATTTATTGTTGGGAATTTATTAGAACAGAATAGTGCAGTTGGAAGGGACCTACAACTTAGGTTAGGTCAACTAAGACAACAACTAGTCTTAACTGCCAGGTTCTCTTGCTGTATTGCTCAGGTTCTCCTCATGTGAAGACTTCTAGTTTCATGCCATATGAATGGTGCATGGCTTGGCATGGGGGATGTTGGTGCTTTTCATTAGTTTGTTGGTCTGTCTGCTAGGGTTACCGTTCCTGCAGCTCAGCGGGCAGAGCTGACCCTGTTCTGAGAGCTCTTCTGCTCCAGTATAGATCAAACAGGGTAGCTTGAGCAGTAAAGTGAAGTGAAAGCATTGCAACTTCTGCTTCTAGGTGTCAAGCTATTGGACCTGTATTTTAGCTCTTGGTATTTTTTTAAAATGTAGGTCTATTTAAAAGTCATAATAACAGTAAATGTATTTTGAAAGCCTCAATTTTTCACTGCTAACACAGAAGCAATTTTTCAGAAGTAAACTTGATAAAGACTCGGGCACAGTGAAATTACTCTGACGTAATCATTTCTACTGTCAGATGAACCAAGATAAACTGGTCATGTATGTACTTTTGGCGTTATCCCATTGATAAGCTTTTTAAACCTCTCGGCGCAATTTAAGCTGAATTCATGTTGTCTTGCAACAGTGAGCAGCTGAGAGGTGAGAGGGGAGCCCGTGTGAGGATGATAGCTACAGCTGCTACAGCTCAGCTGGCATGCAGAAGTTTATTAACCTACTATAACTCAATGCTATAGGTCAGATTCTTCTCGGAATTAAAAAAAAAAAAAGAGAAAAGAAAATCTGTTAGCCTTCAAACAAGTAGCTTTAAACACTAGCAATCCTTTTGAAGTTAAGGTACCTATTTACAGAGATACATGTTTGTAGAACCACAGTCTTAATAGTCATTATTTTCTGTAGTAAATAAACCTTCAAAATTCCAAAGTTTCTCCTAATTCAAGTAAAATATTTAACATTAACATTTAATCGCTGGCTATACTAGTTGAAATTTTCAAGTTAGTTTTGCAGACGTTTGATGTCAATTTTGAAGATGTCTTCCTTGAAATCACATAATTGTGATCCACTCTTCCAGCGGTTGAATAGTTGTAACCCAAGAGTTCTTTGGTTCTTAAAATCAGACCACATGTTTTTGATAAGGGACCAGTGTATTATGTACTCACTGGGAATATCATTTAAGCTTTACAACTATGAAGAACATTCCTTCCGACATTCGCCAGTGCATGCTCTTGTCTTTCAAATTCCTTTGCTCATTAAAAAAGTTTTAAGCTCTTTATTTGTGTGGCTGTTGGTCTTGAAAAGCTCTTTTCATTTGTGTTGGATCACAGAAACTGAATGCTGGAATTACTATTTTTAGAAAGTGCTGCCATTTGTGTTGGTGATAAAATGTATCATGTTGTTATGGCAACTGAAACCCTAACGTACTGATTAATGACACTGACGTTATTTGATGGAAGGACTCATTTGATGCTGTTCAATCCTCTGGAATATTTTAATGAACTTTTTCTTTTAATTGAATATTATTTGGTGCAATACAGTTAGTTTTATATGAATTCTGTGTGCAGTACTTTCTTAAGATTGTCATGTTACAGTAGCTTAGTGATCCCAGACTGTGATCAGAAACAGTTGTTTTACCCGAACACCTTGAATATATTTCCCTTATAATAGTGTTTCTAGATTTGCTATTATAAGGCCAGTCTTTCTTTCAGGTATTCGAATAACCTAGTAATACTGGCAGTTGATCCTGTATATTAAAAAATGGGATACTGTGCTTCAGAATAAAATGCAGGCTTTACCTCTTAATCTTTTTTTCTCATAGCTTCTGTTTCTTAATATTTCCTGAAAAGACATAGTTCTACTCACTTGGTCTTTGATATTTCTTTAACTTGCCAATTGTCAGTGGTTGGTGAATTCAGCCCTGATTTTAGTGGATGCAGTTTTGGTGTCTTTGTTCCTTTGTTGCATATTACAGCAGGACTGAATCTGGATTCATGGTTACCTTGGTTTCGTCATCTTCTCCTGGTGTTCCACCTGCATGTGTTTGGCTGTAAAATAGTTGTAACTACTGTTTCTGACAGATAAAAATGCATCTGCGAACTAGTAAATGCATCACCATAGTGATTAAACTGGTTCAATGGGCAATGTAAATAAAACTATTAGTTTGTCTTCATAAAATATTAAACTTTCCAATTACATTTAGCATCCTGTCTCTGTGCATCATTAGTCATTTAGATCCAGAAAAGTAACAGAACACAGACTTCATAGTGTTGTTAGTAAAAGGCTGTAGCAAGTTTTAAGTCTCTGGCCGCTATCAGGTCTTCCTTTTTGACTGATTATAGAATCAGGTGGTGTCGAGGTAAAGCAAATGGAATGTATTTGCTGGTAGATGAAAAAAAAAGTGTGTATTTACAAAGGACAGCAAGAAGCCACAGGAGGTAGAAGGTAGACCACTAAGATTATCAGTCTTCTAAAAGATGCAGGGGAGTGCAGGTGAAAAACTAATGTATGCAAATTAAATCCTTCTACTATTTTTCACGATTGCAGAAATAAAGAAGCTAATTTCTTGGTTATCGGGATCATTTATGTGAGTTTATCTATGTACGTTACAAAGAGATGAGGAAGCCTTCCTTCGTTGTAACACTTTAGGTTGTTTTCACAGTTGAAGTAAAAGGGCTTTTTAAAGTAACCAGCACTGATATTTACTGCATATTTTTAGTGTATATCTCTAATTCCTTGTAGGGAATATAACTGTGCTACATACAACTTGCAAATTATGTTTTTGTTTTGTTTGTTTTTGGTTTTTTTAGAGAGCAGATAATAAAACAGTCAACAGAACTGGTCTGCAGAGCTTACAGTGAGTTATATGCAGCTGTGATGGATCCTTCAAATGAATATAAGGATCCAGAAACCATACTACACAGATCTCCTCATCAAGTTCAGGCACTCCTTTCATAGTCCTGCTTACACCAGGTTTATCAGAATCCATAAGTCTGTATTTGTTGAGTATTTGCACCTAGTTATTTTTCTGGTTTTAATTTTGATGTGTAACTGTATAGTTAAAATATGTAGGAATGCGGTTTTGTTTCATCTGCTTGGCAGAAGTCTAGTCTTTTCTGTGTCTTTGAATACCTTCTATAGGCCAGAAAATAGAATATAGATGAAAAATTATTTTAGTGTATTCTTCTAATGGAAATGGACCTTGAAAATATGCAATCTCTTTGAAAAAGGAGAAGGAAGCTTTTTCCTTTGCTGTACATAATCCTTTCAACTAGAGGTTGAACCAGTGTCTCTTATGACCTCACCAGTATTTTTATTTGCTCTTTTCCCTGTTCTTTCACTCTTTTTCTCAGCCTATCATCAGTAAATGCTGATAACTGTAATTTTAATATAACTGATATATGTTGGATGTCTCAAGTGCATCATTTCTACAGCTCATAAATAATTTCAGAACATTTGATGCTGTTTTTCAAATCCTGTTGATTAAATCTTTGAGGGAAGATTTATGTGCTTTTTTTGAATCCATTATCGTCATTGCTAGTTCTGTTATTTTCTGTAAGAAAAAGATGTATTTGAATTACGTGCAGGTACATAACCTGGAACCTAATGCTTTAAGTTACTTGTATAATTCTGTTTTATGGGAAGGATTTTGCTTTAGCACAGTCATGCTGTAGGAATCCTTGTATCAGTTGAAACTTGCTGATCTCTAAAGGCTGGGACCAATGACAATGTAGGTTAGGAAGATGACTTGCACATCAGTATGGCCATTCCTCCTTCACATGTACATGTTTTTTGTTTTGCTTTTTTTAAGTACAAAAAAAAGTCCATCTCGTCTAGTACAAGCATTTATTTAGTTAATAATCCACCAAGAGATTTTTGTGGTTTACATGTCTGCAGTGGTTCTCCTAAAAATTACAGTTAAGTTCACCTGTGGCTGCCACAGGTTGTCCTGAGAATTATGTGGGAGAGCCAGGGTGTGTAGTTGTTCAAGGGTGATGCATAGAAAGCCATGAGTGAGGGTTTCATTTCTTTCCTTCTCTGGTGCAAAGCTGAACCTGCTCTGTGTAAAAACCCTAATTTTATAGAGAGTTATGATTTAGGGGATCTTTGCTTCCAGTAAAAGAGGAAAATAGGACAGTTGTTCTTCTGTTGCACCTTATGATAAATTTTCTGCAAATTCCTTAAATGTATTCTTCTTTAGAAAAGCCTTGCTGTAGAGAAACCTTCAGGATACAGAAAGTTAGTAAAAGGAAATTGGGGTTAGGTTTTTTGATTTTTTTTTTTTTAAAAGGATAATTTAAGCTGTTTCATTGGAAGCATTTAACTTTTTTATTTCCCTCTTTGTTGTGTGAGTGCCACAGAGGTATTACAGTTGCCTGAGTTTACACTCAGATGTGGCTTGTTTATGTATGTCAAGAGGGAGATGAGTAGTCATTCATATTGAATAACATACATATTTTATTTTTATCAGTAATAATATTCCCCATAAAATACATATACTTAGTGGCAGCCAAGTCTGCAGTTCAGTATATGCTTGCAAGAGAGCAAGAAATAGAGAAGAGTGGCAGCAATACCTTTTAGTCTCTCAGAAAACTCATTGCACAAGATATATCCAGCATTCTCAGAAAGCAGCTTCCTTGGTAATACCACAATAAAGCAATAGCTCCTTTTCCAAATGGGTGTAATTTGTTGGTATAACAGAGAAAGATTTGAAAGTTGAGTGTCCCTGGAGTTCTTGGATCAGGGATAAATTCTTCTGTAATGTGAATGTTAGATTTATTCTGTCTAAAAACTCCAGACCTGTAAGACAAAAAAAATTCTAGAAGCTTAGAAAAGCTCTCATGGAAAATTATGCTCTTTTACTGGGTAAGGCACTTTAAATTACTCAGATTTTGCATTATCGTAGTATACATTGAGAAGGCTGTTCATTGTTGTTTAATAATGTTAATAGTGCTTAATATGCCTGTAATTATTATCTAATATATGAAAATTACATTAGTTGTGAAAGGATTATAAATTAGCTTGTTATTAGATTAACATACTCATAAGGGTGAAGTTTTTCCTGAAATTACACTCAACCTCAGTCTCCAATAATCTGTCAGTAGTTTGCATGAAGGTTAGTAAGAAGTTGCTTCCTATCTTTGAGTCCATGTAGAGACTTATCCATGATCTTATCTTCTCTTAATAAAAATGCAAAAGCTATAAAAGTTGTAACTTACAAAAATTGCTGTCAATCACTGATTTTGGTCTGTGCAATTAAAGTAAATGACAAAGGGTCTCAAATGAGAAAGGATGCCAATAAAAGCATTTGATTTACTGACTTCTGTCTTCCATGTTGTTATTTCCTCTTGCTTGCCTTTCTAAGAGGAGGAAGGAAAGGGTGATTAGATTTTGACCTGCCTTTTCTAGCTTGGCATTTCTGACCCCTTTGTTTTACAAGTTCCCAGGATTTCCACACCAGGAACCATGAAGCCGCAGTCCTCTAATTGCTCAGTTAGATGGATATAAGCATTACAGTAAATGGAATCATTCTGGCTGTCAGTACTGTGTCAGTATTCGGACCCCTTACCACAGGTCTGATTTGAGTGTCACAGTGTGTGAAGAGATGCTCACCTGGCTGGGCTGAGTTAGTCAGCACTTCTGCTGTTGGTCCTTAAACACTTTATACGGCGGGGCATGCCTTCAAAGAGCAAGTCCCTTACTCTCTGCTGGGCAGCAATACGCTTGGGAGGACTGGGTAAGAGGGGTGTTTGAATACTGCCTGTAGTAGGGCAGCACTCTCGGCTTTTAACACTGACAACCCGATTCTGAGAACAGAGGCGTAAAAGGCCTCTTCTTGCATCGTTGTCTGATGCAAAGATCACTTTTGTGGGAAGCGGGAGGGCTGGGTTCTGGGCCAAAGGAGTTTGGAACCGACATCTCCTGTCTTCCTGAAAGGGACCCAAACCCTTGGCTGTTGTGCAGTATGTGACGGGGCAGCTCTGTTTCTTCTCCTTTGAATTCAGCATCTGTGCATAAATCAATGCAAAATACGGGAGGCATGAGAGAGAATAAGCAAGAAGGACTTTGTCCCTGTGGCATGTATGTGAGGGCTCTCCTGTGGACTCCAAGGTCTAGATTTTCCTCCAGTTGTTACGTAGGGACCTTATTATTGACCTCCAACACATGAGTCCCTGAAACAGAAACAGGATCCCAGACTTTATTACCCACAAAATACGGCAAGATACAGAGTTGAGTTTGGGTTGGACCCAAGGTGGTTCATCTGCACTGGTGGCAATGCCTCTGTTTTCAATCCTATATGTACAGTTTCCTCCCCGCCTCTTTATAACTACACACACCACTGTGGAAATAAAGTAAAAGTTGTTTTAATTATAGCCAGCACATGGCAGCCGAGCCACGGTGAGTTTTTGTTTTCTATTATAGGAAAAGAGAAGCTTAAGGAGGTTTGGAAAGGTGATAATACATTTGTTTGCAGCATTTCAGAGTGCTCCTCCCTGTTCTCTGAGATTTATGACTCTAGCCCTGCATTTTGTCTGTTAATAGAATCAGCTGTAATTATTTTCATTAAAGTTTTTGAAATATGTGTTGGAGGAAAATACTTTCAGAACCACTAAATTTTTCCATTAATTTAAAAAACTCTATCTGTTCTTTGATCCCGTGGCTTGTCTTGCTGAGTCACTTTGCAGGCAACCCAGGGGGTGGGAAGCTTATAAAATTTTGAAAATTAAACAAAAGGATTAGACATGCTTCCATGAGTAAAACACACCCTCCAGAAGCAACACAGACATGGGTGTGGGTTTGTTTAAAATCCACTGCCACCTGCTTCTGAGGGAAAATGCAGAAAAAGAGTCATTTGCTTATCATGAGGGCACCCATCCAAAACAGCCATGGTAGGATTAGATGCTGTAAATTGATGTTAAATTGATGTCATGTTTGAATAGTTTGGAGAATTTTCAGAATGCAGATTAGAAGAAACTGGCAGTGGAAGTAAAAGTTATGTCATATAACTGAACTCCCTCGCATACTGGATTTATTTGTCAAAGGTTTCCAGAACCTCTACATCTTTTCCCCACTGCTCTTAAGCACTCTGCAAACTAAACTTCGAGACAATCCTGCAACTTCTACACCAATTCTAATCCTTGGGCAATTTGGAGTAAGGTGAGATGATTTGAATCACCCAGTGGCATACAAAGCAGTAGCTGAACTCGGCGCCAATTTGTTTCTTGAAAGAATTTCAAAAAAATAGGAAATGAATATAACTTGAACTTGGATATTTGTCCTGAAGGGTAGGAGAGGCGATGCCCTTCGTATGGCAAGGCAGGTGTCTCCAGCCATCTGCCACACAGTAGGAAGCCAACTTCAGGTTTTTGGAATCAAACTACTTCTTCAAAAGTTTTTTAAAGGCGTTTTAAAGGTGAACATGTGCTGCTGTGCTCCTGTGCTGTACTAAACTTGGCGTTTGCTGGCCAGCTAGGCCGCTGGGCTGGTGCTCCAGTGGGGATGTTCACACTAGCCCAGTATGGGGTTACCAAACGCTCAAAAGGTGGGTGAACCTCTTGTCACGCAAAGGTCATCTTCTGCTATCTACATCCTTGAGTAAAGAGACACTTTACGTAGAGCTGGTGTAGGACTGAAGCAAACCCAAGACATTGCTTCTGTCTTGGTCCTTGGCCAACTGACTGTTCATGCCCTCCAAGATGACGCAGGTAAATCTTTGGTGATCTGCAGAATCCTCTGGTGCAAAGCTATGGAAAGACAAAGTGCAAAGGAGCCCTTTACACCTGAAAATATACCCTTATCGCTTATCTTATGTACATTAATGTACATATCTTACATACATTAAGGCCTAAATGAGGTTACGACCCCCTCATGCTACAACTGTGACACAGACTTTGCGTACAATGGAAAAATGAACCACAAAGGCTTTTCTCTTAACAAAAAAGTTTTACTACCTTGCCTTAGCAGCAAGGAAACCTTGATCGAATAAGATATGGCTGAAAGGTGTTTGATAGATCACTGCAGAGCATCTGACAAAAAGAAAAACCCTGTTGCATGTGTCATATTCAGACAATGAAGCTTTCATTTGCTGCTGAGTTCACAGATGCGGTATTGTCAAATTGCAGGAAAATGCCTGGCAGACTGTATCATTGACTATATTTAGGGAGAAAAAAAAAATCAGAACATACTATTTATAGAAGACACACAAATAAGCACAGATTTCTTATCAGCCAAAGATAACATTAGTCGTGATTTATCAAAGTAATCTTTATTTTATGGAAAATGGATAATAGGGTGTAATTTAATCCTTTCTGAATGTAATGTATATTTCAAAGGGTTCTTTTTTGTCAATAAAACCATTTGTTGTGCTTGTTAAACTAATTAGTCTTGTTGCTGTTGCTCATGACAGGATAAAAGATGCCCGTTAATGAAAATGGGGAGGAGAAGATGAGTTCAAAAGTTTGTGAAATAATTTTGTACTCCTTGCAAGCCAGTTTTCCGA